ACCATGCGTTAAATGTGTTTTGTGATAAATAAAGTAGCTACCTAGGCTAATTTAGTTGTGACTTAAGGGGTTATGCTCAGTCAGGAGACCGAAAAAAGAGTGTTCTTTGGAAATTTTTTTCTCAGAAACTGTAATACCTTTTTCAAAAAATGTGTTTTTGTTTCAAAGATTGCAGTTTCTAGATTATAAGGTAATTTTTTTATTTAATAATATTTATTAGTAAATAAATGGTGAGCGATCTCCCGGATGTATCTTCACAAAAAGTGGTCTGCCGTGATCATTGTAACTTCGTAACGGTTCGTTTGAAATTAAAAATTCAGTAAAATGTCTAAATTACCCACTTGCAATTGGGTTTACGCACACAAAATACGAAAAGTATAGAGTTGCACTATGTCTGAGCAGCAATAATAACTGTTTCAGAAAATCTCACGATAATTAGTTTGAGATTCGCTTATATTTTCTACATAAAGTGTAGCTATTTGAGAACAAACACTTCTTTTAAATAAAATGATTCAAAAAAATAAAATGTAACTTCTTCACTATTTTTCTGTGATTTTGTGGCTTATAAATCATCAATTTTTAAATGTTTTATTATATTTTTTTTTAAATCAGACATTTAAGGGTTACATAATTGAGTTACATTCTGTCACAGTTAACTAATTTGAGAAAATTTTTTCAAGGCTTTTCTTTTTGTTTGATAACTAGACTGCGAAAGTGTATGCAAATTTATGATTTCTGATACTAACACATAACAATTAAAATTGGTTACAATATTATTTCGTGTACTAGGGATCTTAGTTTGTCAATAACTAAAATAATAATATTGAATATTATTTCGCGTTCAAATAATGGATTAAATGTTAATTCAAATTAATAGTATTTAATATTATTTCGCGTACTAGGAATCTTAGTATGTCAATAACAGAAATAATAATAGAATACATAAATAATATTAAAATTTATTAAAATCTTTATTTTCCCGTATTTTGCAGTTTAGGAGATGCTATAGATATGTAAACATCCGCAGTCTATTAATAATGTTCTTCGATTTTTCTAAATGAGAAATTAGGTGTGCAGGTTCTCATGGGACTTGTGGAGAACGTGTACCGCGGAATTATTAATTCACGTGGAACACCGTGAGACCGCCAATTAAAGTTGAATTTTAATCAGGTATGAATTTTCTACGACTACAAGACGATTAAAGGTCTCACTCCTGTTCTATATATAAACAGTGCAGCGGTTTGAAACTTCCGATTTGATCTTTCTTTAAAAACGAATTGAATCGTAATTGCGCGGCCTGTAAGTGTGATCGAAACTGTGATCGTAAATGTCAGGCATCGCAGATTAGTCGACATTAAAAGATCATCGAGGCGGTTGTAATTCGAATGGATTTCGATCTGTAGCTACCCCGGGAGAGAAACGAAGGAACAATAATCGTAATGGCAAGTGCTATCTGTATAAATTGATTAAATGGAACATTTAATTTTGGTTCAAACTAATCACTGTAATAACGTGTCTCATTTCTCAATCCCTCGTATAAGACATGATTTACAAACTTTACGAAGGGTTTCGTAATAACCTGAGAAAAAGGCAATTACATACAAATATTGAATTTAAAGAAGAATCTTATCTTTCTCTACGAGTTCGATTATTAATTGACATATCAACAGCAAACTACCAAAAGTATTAAAATGATTGGTTAAAAATTTCGTTTAAATGTTACCTAAATCTATTATCCTGTAACTTCTGAATTTTTGGTGTATCTTTCATTAGTTAAAAACCACACAGATATTCTTTGCTTCGTCAGTAACGTTTAGTTGTGCACTTCTTTGAAGCTTGTAACAATTTCACTACATCGTTTCCTCCACGGGGTCCATTCTTCTTGTCCTAAATTTTACGTCCAATTATTTCACAACTATGGTGGGGTTACGCAAACGAAAATGACACAAGACATTAATAAAAAATATATGTATACATGTATCCTGCCCGCTATTTTATTCTCGCAATTGAATACACAGTGACACTGCGTCCTAAAATGGCGTTAGCAATTTCAACAGTCCTGATCGGTCGTTAGATACTCAAACGATAAATGATGCTGACGATTCAACAGGTATACAGGTTCGATTGTGTAGCATTGCTCGAGAGAAAGAAGAGATTCGAACTGACCGAGAAAGATTTTTGATATCCGGCTATCGATTAACATCGGCCTCGATCAATTGTTATCCAGTCTAACGTTTTGAAATATAGATCAAGATTTGCGTTCACGAACAGTATTCTCGGTCACAACACCGCCAGACGTACAAGTAGTATAACAGGGAAATCAATTTTTATAATTGCAAATTTTCACAATTATTAGATTTTCCATGTTACTTAGTTTGGTCATTCTGGTGACAAAAGAGACTTTATTCTCTGGAAAAAAATCATCTACATCGCATTACAAAGTATCTGGAAATTTATGTAATGGTATTTCGAAGACACCATCAGAGATACAATACTATTGAATACGAAACTAAATAGGTATGATAATTTACTATTGGATAAAAAATCCTGTTAACCATGTTATTAAAATGTTTGTGAAAACTTACTTCCAAGTTTTAAGGAAAAGATGCCACTGAAACAGGAAATGAGATATGTGATGTTTATGGAGAAGGTACTCTATCAGAAAAAATTTCTCGCAAATGGTTCTGCAAAATTTATAAATTCCTATCTTAAAAGCGAATTACGTACATTGCCAACAAATCTGAGAATTTCTAGCAAAATGGAATATTCAAATTACCCGAAAGACGACAAAAGATTGTAAAATAAAACAGTACATATCGTACACAATGGGGAAATAATTGTTCGTTTATTTACCTAAAAATCATCACATTTTAATAAAAACTTAAAATATTTCATTATACACTTTAGATTATTAAAATAAAAATACTTTATTCCCGGAAATTTATCACTGTTATTGACAATAGTATCTAAAATATTTTCAACCCTCCGTTGTCATACTTCCTTTTTCAAACGTACCTACTTGTCACACTGAGTCAATCTCACCCAAGCCAATATTCAAACTGTGGTTCAAAAACTATTTGTTAAATTAAGTCGCAAAAAATTCTGAAATGAAGTGTGAACATTGTAGACTATATTTCCATGGTTAAAATTAACGCTGAAACTTTCATTATGTTTAAGAAATTCTGCAAAAAAGTTATTTTCGTATCTACAATTACTATTACATGACACTAATAGTACTATTTTCAATGATTCCTCAAAGATATTTCAAAGTCAAATTCTGGATCAAATTGACCCAGTCTGACAGCGGAGGGTTAATAATTTCTCGCCAAATTTCACCCAGCTTTGTACAAAACTAACCGAAGCAATTAAACAGTATTTACGACATCGAAAAACAGCGAAGAGATCCTTCAGACTGTAAACGGTCATTTATCCTCCAAGCACCTACATCATTTTTTAGTACCCTGCGCATCTCAACGATCAAACGCCCAACAAAAAAGACCGATCTTATCCGCCATTACCATTACTCTTTTCTCCATCCGAATTAAATTTAGCAAATCGATCCCATTCCCGTGGCCCGATCAATCCACGGACAACCGTAAAATCGACACGGCGTCCGTGGCGCGGCGTGCCAGAGCCGCGATCACCGCGGATGATCTAGTGCACAAGCGATTCCAGGACTCGATTTCGTAATACGAATAGTGTGTGTGTGTGTGTGTGTGAGAGAGAGAGAGAGAAAGATAGATAAAGAGAGACCGTTCCGTCCTCGGACATCCGGGTGCCGTAGCACCGAGAGATCGAGGCAGCTCACGGCGCGTTGCGCACACTGTCGGCCCCTCGATCAATTGTTATACACCGTGGCTGCTGGCATTTAACCGCGGCCAGCTAGCGCGGAGTGTGGCTTGCGTCGTGCACTGTTGCCGCATTAATTTGGTACAGTGCGTTGTAGTATGATCGCTCGCGGAAAAGAAGTTGCGCAAGCGTTGCTTATGCCTCTCATACCAGCAACGGGGCACTACGGTTGTGTGCGGACGCGCGTTATGTGTGCGCACAAAGTTTCTGGTCCTTATGTTCCCCTCTCCCTTTCTCCCATTCCATCTCACTTTATGCTCGCCTGTCTTCGTATCTATCCCCTCCGCTGCCCCACCGTTTCCCTTCTCTATCGCGCTCCGCCAAGCTAGATCCGTTTCTCTTCCTTTCAGAGATTCAACGTCCTTCTCGGCACCGCGTTCTCTTTCTCGAGATCTCCCTCTGTCCCCGTGAGTACTTACGTGCTGTTGGCTGATCGGCTAGCTGACTCGCCGACCGGCCGGCTATAGTGAATTTATACACGGCCACGGTGCGTTCCCACGCCTTAGAGTATGCGAGAGAGCCCTGGCGGCTCTTCGGCCTAATGCCCGCGTGGTACCGATCCTGTACCACGGTGCTGTGGGCCGGTCGCGCTAAGGAAACGCTGGAAAATCTGGGACACGGCGTCGCGGTATGCACCATTGTCCGTGGATTCTATGGGATTCGATCGAAGAGGAAGAGGAGGGGACGGTAGATCGTTATTTCTTGCCCCTCGCACACGTTTTGCAATTTCGTCCCGTTCGATCTGGTTTTCGTGAGATTACATCGACAACGGACCTTGTTCGCTGACGTTGATTGTTGGTAGTTGTCCAATCGGTTGGTACTTTATGCGTGGTACTTCTTGGCCGGATAGTACTCAAGGGCATTTTACTGGGGAATGTTGAAAGGTTCTAGCGAGAGGACTCTAGGATAAAGTGGTTGATAGAGATAGCAGATATACACGTTTCCACTTTCACTCAAGATCCACTTTTCCGTCTGTTCCAGGTTGTTCGCCGAGTTCAAGGATGCGGTGGCCGAGGAGGCATCAAAGCCTCTGCTGAAACGTTACTACCAATACTTGCAATATAACCAGACCCAGTCAGCCTAGCAAGGCCACCGGTGGCCTGACCCTGCAACAGGAAGCAATCACGAGGACCGAACGTTCAAAAGGTTCCATGGATCTAACGGAGGCGTTCGCCCCGGGAGGGGGCGGGGAGGATCTGCCGAAGACCGATTTCTTCGATTTCGTCGTCTCCCCGCCGCCCCACTGCGCCTCCGCGGACGGCGTGTCCGACGAGGAGAGCTTCCTTCACCGTACCACCTGCCGGAGCATCGGTTATCTTCAGCAGAGCCACGAGGAGCACGAGGCAAGCCGTGATCTTCACGGATCGCCGTTCATCAAAGAGACCAACAACAACACTTTGACCGCTCTGCCGCCAGTTTCGACGATCACGAGCTCCCTCGGTCATCATCATCACCATCATCACGTGAGAACTCATCACAATGCCTGTAACGTGCAGCCGAGCAACGAACAGACACCGATGGACCAGTCGGATTGCGACTATTGGGGCACCGACGAGACCAAGGAACAAACGTGCAACATACTACTCGAGGATCTGAACAAGTACTGTTGGTCGGCTCACGCAAACGCTCAGAGCCACGGGAACGATAACGTGAACGTTCATCAAGGATCCAACGACCATCATCAGGGTGTTGGACGGGGATGCGCCGCGAACGACAGACAGAACACGGACGGAGCTATATACACGTTGACCGTGTTGAACAACGAGGCGAACTCGATGGACGCGCTAGACTGCTGCAAGAGTCCCGCGCCAACGTCCAGCGATTCCTGGTCCCTACGGCCAAATCTCGATCTGGACGCAATCTTGAGCATGGAGCCGGCCTCTACCGAACCGGACCACGACCAGACCACGAACGTGAGCGAAGTGTCGCGGACGGTTAACGATAGGTTTCATCCGGACCGTTTCTCGGTCCCGTCTTCACAGTACACCACCGACGACAGCGGTTTCGTCGAGAGCAAGGAATTATGCGGTCGGGGAACGTCCAATAGCGGCAATTGCGCGGGCGGCGACAACAACAACGACTGGAAGCTCTCGGACCAGAATCTGCAGGAGGCAGCCGCCGCTGCGGCAGCAGCTGCGGTCGCGGTAGGCGCGGGCGATTCGGCTGAGAGTCTCCTGCGCAGCGCCCTTCAAGGCAAACTCTACACAGGCCCGACACAAGTGGTGTCGTCCTCGTCCCCCTCCAATCAAGGCTCCGCCATGTCGATGCCCGTCGCGAGTAACACTGGCCTACAGATAGTCTCTGACCAGCAGCAACCGCAGCAACAGCAACAGCAACAACCGCAGCAACAACAGCCCCAACAACCGGACGAGTCCATGCACGCATGTACCGATGAGGATCTACTACTGTCCCAGTTAGATCAAACGACCTACCGTCCCGGTGATTACGAGAAATTAAAGAGCATAGCCAACGAAGTGGTGGAGTCTTACTGTAGCCTGGAACCAGTCTGCAATGTCTCAGCGACGACCACGGTGATGTACACGCTGGACCCAACGAGTGGTAGTCTAGGTACCATCACCCTTCCAGCGGACCTGGGCCAAGTTAGCACGGTCACAGTGGTCACTGCTGCCCAACAGGATGTCCTCCAACCGCAGACAGCTCCCAGGCCCGAAGTCGAGCAGCAACAGTCGACCAATCAGCTTCAAATACCACCCACGAGAGTGGTCACCGCAAAGGCGCCAAAGAAGTACTGCAGACGAGCTAACAGGAACAACAGTAACACGAACGCGGCTAGTAATGGGAACGGCGGATCAGAAACCGGCGGGAACGCCGGTGGCCAGCAACAGGGTGCATCGGGCGGCTCGCCAGGCAGCGTGCAACGCAAGGAACGCTCGCTGCATTATTGCAGTATCTGCAGCAAAGGCTTCAAGGATAAGTACAGCGTGAACGTTCACATCCGAACGCACACGGGTGAGAAGCCGTTCGCATGCTCCCTCTGCGGCAAGAGTTTCCGGCAGAAGGCGCACCTAGCGAAACACTATCAGACCCACGTGACGCAGAAGCCCAGTGTCCAGCAACAGGCGGCAGCTGGGACCACCAGCAGCAACAGCGGGAACAGCGGGAATCCCAGTCCGTCGGCTGAAACGACGACCACGACGACCAGCACGGTGACAAACAGGAGTCAACAACCGCACCAGGTTTCGGTCGATCCCACGGGGAACGCCTGCAATCCGCCTAGTTAGTCGACTTGGGATGACCCTGCCCGATCTCTTGATTCCCAATTGAATTTGCGACTATCAGGTCGTTGCTGCCCACCCCATATCCTCCTTTCCAAAGGTGGCACGGTGCGAGTCTTCTTTCTCTCTCTTAGCTATCTATTTCTCCATCTGTCTTTCTCTCTTCTCCATCTATCTCCCCCGTTTATTTCTGTTCTTTACCCAACGTTTCCAGGTCTTCGTTCCACGGAACGGAATGATTTACGATCAACGTGGTTTCAAACACCCGGGCACAGAGCGAACCATGACTAATAGCGACGATTGCGAGATCGACGCGTCTATGGGCTCACGTTAGACAGGCTGAGCCTCATCTAGCGATCGGCCGACTCTCGTTCTAGAATGAATATTAGCGCCGATGGACCTCGAGTATCTGTCTCGAGGTCTATGGATATTTAATTAACCGCTTGTTTTCCGATGAAACGCGAGAGCCTTCCAGCATGCGAAAGCTCAAAATCGCGAATGACATGGCAGTGACGCTGCCTTTTCTCTGGGCGTCTATGTCGTGTCCCCCGTCCCCAGATAGCAAGGATCCTGCCAATTTTAACGCAGAAATAAACCGTCCACAGAGAGCCCGCGAATCGTGAATTTATCCACGGCAACAAAGAGACTCCCAAGGCTTCCATGACAAGTGTTCCTATCGCCAGTCCAGACTTCCGGTCGCGTGCGAAAGATTCAGGTGAACCGTTTAGGCGCTGAGACCAGTTATACAAAACGTCACAGCGAGTAGTGATATATACACGAGTGCACGGAACGCGTCCTGAGACTTTAAACTCTCAGCGCTTGAGAAGTGAATGTTTAGCGTCCCAATGTGACTGGTTTTGTGATCGTCGCGACGTTTCGATCGAGGGACCAATTTGGTCTGATTTGTAATGTGAATACGGCCGAATACCTGCAAGTCTAAACTGGTGATAACTATACGGAGGCGAGATACCTAAAGACACTCCTTGGATATGTTCGTGCGCCCTTGAATTTTTTCGAGAAGTCGACAAGAAGAGAATTTTGATCGGTTCGAAGAGGAAAATGTGATAACGAGGACATCAGGGTGACCGCTGTCAGGCGTTCAATGATATTAACATCTACTTGTTTTTTCTCGTAAGACTAATGCCTGACCGGTGTATTTATGTATTTAATCGAAGAGGTGAAGAAATATTTATGTTTCTACGTTAGTATTAAAAATGATCACCGGATGACTTCGAGAGATCAGTGACCTCCAGTGGAGATTTTCCGAAGAATAAACGTTCGTTCTTGTCCTTTTTTCGAAATTTCGTCGGACACGGGAAACATATTTCGAAATCTCGCCACGTAGAAAGTCAAACTGATATTACGTGTACGATCTCGTTCTGTCGATAAATTCACGAGTAAATTATATATTAATATAAGACCGGCGATCACGCCTTTTATTTTTTTATTACCGGTAATTATGTAGTCTTGATCGTCGATCGACAGGTAGTCGGTTCTCAGGCCAGGTGACTCGGTGAAATTGTTGTTCCTAAGACGACTCATTGACGACAGAAAAAAAGAGATAGAGCGAGAGTGAACCGAGCTTCTGTCGACGACGATCGCCTAACGATCAACGGATATTTAATACCACTATGAGATATTAACGTTATACGTTACTTTATACGGAGGATGATGAATCCCACTATTTTTTTTTTTAATTGTTCTTTCAGTTTTTCTTCTTTCTTTCACTTTTTGATATATGTATACATACACAACACAGACACACAGGACACACACAGGAAACAGTAGACTAACGGAAGTTAACATAGAGTCGGTAAGTAACAGAGTATCGAGAGAGTTATAATAACGTTTTAAGTAATTAGTAGCACGAGCTGTGATTTAGATACATACTCAACGCGCGTGGGGAGGTGCGCGCGCGCGCGTTTGTCCGTTCGGCCGGCGGCGGCGCTCGCGTGTCTCGCCGTCTGTTATTCGTAAGAGAGTGAAAGCGAAACGGTTTGACGAACGATTCTGCGAGGAGGAATTTTACCTTCGGGACAGAACACTCTTTAAGACTTTCTTCGAGCCCTATGAAATGTCGTTTTTTCATTTTAACAGAAATTTAAACGCACGTATAGTTCTGTTGAAATTTTATGGGCAGGCTAAAAATCAGTTTTATACGAATCTTACGATTTATTTTTTGAAGTTGGAATTAACGGTCACTGGTTAGGAGAAATATTCTGGCAGCGTACTTATAGAGAGAGAAACGAGTGTGTTACGATTTTATTAAGTGTTTCGATAAGTAATCTACCATTTGTTTTTAATAAATTGGTGATCGTTTAAATTCAAAGCATATTTATGGCCTCTTAGTCTTTAATAGACTGCGGAACTTTATGGAAAATAACATTTTTCGAGGTGATTTGTAACGGCAGATGTGAAGATGGTATTTTCTTCTATTTCTTATACATTTTATTATAACAAGAGTAAGACAGAACATGAATTATATCTGATATTACCTTTACCATTCATCATATTTTATATGGTCGTATATGCTATAAATGCATATAATCCATAGAGTATGTAGTTTTCAAAAATGATGAAGAGCTTCGATGTAAGAGAACAAATATTAATGGCGTAGCCCTATAAGCTTCTCATATAGAAAAAGGTACCGAATTTGACTAGATCTCAGTGGATTACTTATTGGTATATCTAATACAATTATTTTGTTAGATAATTATTATGCAGTACCTACCTTACAGGTAGAACCAAAAGGTCAACCCATGAAGTATTTATTGGAAAATTGGTTACTTGTTCATTTATTAATGATTTTTGTTGCGTTTTGTTCCCGTATTTGAAGATTTAACTAATCAAATTATGCATACAGATACACAATTCTTTAAACATTAGTGCAACGCAATGTTTAATGGTCCAATAAACTGTACCAGAATATTCATTACATTTAACCCTGATACGGTCCTAAATCCACCTACAGTGACTGTAAAAAGTATACGTGCACCCTTTAAAACGGAACAACTCTTTTAAAATTGGTCCAAATGACTTGAGTTTTTTTGTGAAGTTAGAGACACTAATTTACTAATTGATGTGAAAAAAAAATTGAAAATGTTGCAATTGGTCCGAATCTCGAAGAAAATATTGAAGGTCGTGTTTTACAACTTTTTAATCTGAGGCTATAATGAAAATTTAATAAATACATATCGAAGATTTATGTTCGTTATATACATGTTGAAAATTTCATCAAAATCGGTTAACGTTGCTACGAGATACAAACGATTAGAAATGTTGAAAATCGCAGTTTTTCCCGACTTTCGATCTACAACTGTAGTAAATCTAACAATTCTCACATCTTTTGATGTCTGTCGCTAGTTTCTGTATTAACCGATTTCAATGAAGTTTTCAGTATGTACATAACTAACATAAATCTTCGATACGTATTTATTAAATTTTTATTATAGCCTCAGATTAAAAAGTTGTAAAACACGACTTTTAATATTTTCTTCGCGATTCGGACCAATTGCAACTTTTTCAAAATTTTCTTTCACATCATTTAGTAAATTAATGTCTCTAACTTCACAAAAAAACTCAAGTCATTTGGACCAATTTTAAAAGAGTTGTTCCGTTTTAAAGGGTGTACGAATACTTTTTACACTAACTGTATATATTCGAAGTAATAAGGATAAGGAAGGAAAAACATGCGAGTCAATAACAATCTCCTTAGACATTTCGCAAACATACAAACATTTCTAATGTCAAACAAGTGTGTAAACAGCGTTCTAGAAAACCGTAGTAGGTTTAAGTCACGATAAACAACTACAAAAAATGAATCAAAATTCTGTCTAAATCCGGTATCTACAAATTAGTCGTCAATTGCTCGCCAGACTACGGATCTTTATGCAAACATTCATCGTAGTCGAAAATAAAGTTTTTACGGATTAGTTCACAAAAACTGTGATTAAATAAACATCTCGTTACTCCACTAAGTTTTCGATCAGGCTCCAAAATACAGAAAAAGTCGCGCTAAACTTCATCAACATTTCTACCGTACCCTAAATTGGGGTAACATTAAGTCAGGCTAGCTTTATCGCAAAGTCGGAACAATCGAGATCGCAGTCTACTAATTTCCACTGCACAAGAAACGACATTTCATACGTACCAATCTAATAAGAGAACTAGAAAGAAACAAAAAAAAAAACGTTCGAAAACCTCAGCTAAAAACCTTTCGAATAACCAGCAATCGTCGAATTCACAACGGTCGCGCCCGATCGACCGGTTCGGAAGACGAGAAGCGCACGTGAGACTCACGACCGGATGAGCCGCGGCGCCATTCTTCTCTTTTTCCCGCTTGGATTTCATTAATTACCTCGAAGGACGGATATTAATGCGTTCGCTCGTTCTTTCATCCATTATCTCGATCCTCGGTACCGGTGCCTTTAGAAATAAGTCTGAATACGAGTATTAGTCCCCCCCGTCTGCCCCACCCCCCACCCTTTTTTTATTTTTCCAGCGCGATACTGCCTTACTGACCTTTCTGTCGATCGGTTTTCGCGGGTTTCTCACGTTCCTTGCCAAATCGTAAACGGGAAGCCAAACAGAAGCGGCAGAAACTCAGCCACACACACACACACACACATTCACGTACACACACATACAGGGCCCGCGAGAAAGGAATGCAATTATCTCCTAGTTGATCGTGTCGGCGCGATTCCCTCGGTATTTAAAGTCGCGCCCCGGTGTAGTAGGTACTGTCCGCTCACAGTCGTGAACCCCGCGACTAATGCACAACCACGATCATTTTTTTTCTCTTCTTTCATTTCTCCCCCTTCATCCCCCGTCGGACACCTATCCACGCGCTCCGTTCCCGTCGTTTTTATTGCGCCATTGTAAGATGAGATCGACGGCAGAAACGAGAAACGCACGGGTCTTCATTAATACCGCGTTTTATCTACGCTCGTAAAGTTCGATTTCCAATCAACAGTCGCATGCAGAGACGACGCACGTGTGTACACGTG